CGAAGACATCATCTAACATCGAAAATACCGTAAAAAAATTGGGCATTTTTGATATTTAAATAGTTTTCATAATAATTAGGAAAACCAGAACTTAAAAAGAAACTGACAAATTTACAGCGTTACGATGTCATTATTTAAAAATTGTACGCACGATGTTTTCTACTAGAAATATTGCTCCAATAGATAAACAACAAGAGACCTTCCTTGTTGCATTTTTAATCTAGTTGTCTAGTTGGTGAATGAGAAAGTCATTTTCCTTTCTTGATTTTCCCGGTAGTTTTTTCTAACAATTGAGCAAGACGGTTCTTATTCGATCATCTGCTCGGCTAATGATTCCTGTTGACGCCTCCGCAAGCGTGTGGCCGCTGGTTCGCAAACAAAGAATGCTACGGACTCTGGCGAATAAAAATCCAGTTACGATAAACGTTAACATTATCCGTTGTACTTGCAATATTGTAAGGTGGTATACGTTCGTTTGTTGTATACACATCGGCCGAAATATGGTTATATTTTTCGTTACGATAGGTTTTTTTGTCCGTGATGCTCGGCTAAACTTAAATCGTATTACCGCAGACGAAGCGGAGCGGCGGGAGGGATAAATAACCAATAATTATACGTATAGGTATATTATCTTCACACACGCCTTCACCACATCCCATCGGATTACACCGGGCGTTCGGGTCCGAAAATGTTATGCTTGCGATCACGTTCGGCTATCGGAACCATCGCGTACACACACAACCACGTGTTTTACGTGCAATAATATCATACCTATGTACAGGATATTATAATATACAAAAATTATACCTACTTCTAAACGATTCTCCGCGTATATAGTCCTTGTTGATGTTGTTTCCGTCCACCTCCGCACCAACGTCGAGCTCACGAATAAAACGACGACGTACCTCATACCTATATCTTGTATTAAAATATGCATATATATATATATACATATGTTAAATTATATTTAAAAAACCGTCCACGTCCGCGAGATTGTTTCGACGATTTCATTATCATTATTATTATTGTTATTATTATTCGTATTATACAGTCTTTTATTTTTTCGCATAACCTTGGCCTTAGACGCGTATAGTCGTTTTCGCGAGATCGTGAACCGCATTATAATAGTTTTATGTTATCACGGTGGATATTTTCGTGTCGGGTTAACGCCGCCGCTGCCGCCGGAATCTACGCCCGGTCGTCATAGCGAAAATCGCATTATACGCCACTCACAATTAGGTACACGAGATTGCGATGACGCGATATACCCCACTCGAATATAAAGGGGTGCGTAAAGACGATTCTCGTCAAATTAAAAAAAAAATGTTGAAAATTTATCGACTGTTTTTTTTTTTTTCAGAATCAAAAACAACAATAAAACTATACATACATACACATTAAATTTGTATATGATAATTCCTTAATAACTACTGTAATACTAAAATGTATATTATATAACTTATATGATATAAAAACAAAGAAATGCAAATTTAATTAATTTACCCTTTTAAGAAATGCTTATGGCGAAATAAATGAGATACATCGTATAATTTGCGGTTAAAATTTAAAATTTAATTCTAAAAGAAATATACTAAATTATAAAATAAACCGAATTAATTGAATTTAAAATGACATTATATTACATGCCTATATTTTTTTAATATATTGAATAGATTTGAATATAGGTCTTTTTTTGTGTACCAAACTGATATGTGATATACTCTAAACTCACGCTTGATTTCATTTTTATAACTAATATTTTTTGACGAAAATAGGATAAAAAATTGTTTGTACAGACATTTAACTGGAAGGTTAAATTAGGTTATGTTAGAAACCCTAAGTTCTCTATAGGTTTGCACTGTAGATCCTTGAAGTACATTTCTATCTAGGCATATTCGCACAATTAAATTCTGTTGTACTTCTAGTGGTTTTAATGCATTTGCTGCACAACCCCCTCCCCCCATACTATTAGTCCATACTGAAAGACAGACTTTTATAACGCTTGGATAATAGTACGCATTTTTGTCCGTTGATGTAATTTTTTTTTAATTTGTGAAATTTACTAATAATAGACCTTAAACGCGTAACTTAACTAGCAATATGTAAACTCTGACGTAAACTACTATCTATAAATAGACCTAAGTATTTTACTCTGTTTACCCTTATTTTCCAGCGAGTTTTCCATTGCTAAAAGAGTGAATTTTCATTTCATTTGTTGGAAAATTAGGTAACTTTGTAATGGAAAAAGCAATGGAAACAGTTTCTTTTATGTTCAAAAACAACATTTTATTACTTAACTCTTTATATATTTTAATTACGTTTATTTCAGCTTTGTTTATAACCGTTTCCCATGTATTGCCAGAGGATTAAAGGCAAGTATCGTCGGCATACGTAATGTTGCGGATCATGCATGTTACTACGGTTAGGTAGTGAGGCCATTATCGAATAATTGTGTAATTTGTGTTTGTACTACACCAGCTGAAGTATTTTCTATTATTTGTCGGGAAGGCCTAATAAAAATATGATCTAAGTATGAGTAACTTCCTATTGAAGGGGTTCTAGTAAATACATTTATAAAAATCTATATTAACCCATAGTGGGCCATTATATCCATATAATCATTGTTTACATTACCTCCTATAATGTCATTATTCATAGCTCCGATTATATAATCACGTTTGGTGTATGGAATTTCATTAGCAAGAATAAGCATTAATTTTGAAATAGTCAGTAATATTTTTTGAAAGACACCTGCGTACGCAGTAATACGCTATTGGTCCACTTTCTATAAGGACTGTTAATCTAAGAATATTACATTCGGCAAAACCATATTTATGCAGACTGGCTATCAGATCTTTTTTTTTCCAAAGATTGCGATACCATCATTTTAATTACGTTTTGTTGACGATAAATACGTATTATAATCAGAAACTGAGTACATACAATCTCCAATATATGCCATGAAACGGTTGGTATATAACTATCAATTTTATTATAATTTAGGTCATCCTCTAAGGGTAACATTATATTCATCAATGTTTGCGTCGACACTTCGTATGCTGGTACACATTACATTTAAAGTATTGGTATTGTTATTATTGCTTGAATTAAAATTTAATACAAATTCTGTTATGGACTCAAAGTGATTTGTTTTATAATAATTATATTTATCAATTATGTCTCTACCATTATGAAAATATGGTTTACATATTTAATAATGTACAAAATACAAAGCACCTAAATAATTTTAGAGACCAAAGCTACATCATATATAACTAGTGTTTTAGTACCCTCATTTTTTTTTAACAAAAATTGTATTACTTTTAAACCAGATATACTTGTAAACCTTTTCTTTGGCCGCAATTTTCGACTTAAAATAAGTGAAAGTTGAAGTCATTTGTTCATTAAAACAGACTGCCAAGTTCTTCCAGGTGTTATCAATATCTTTGGCAACCAATATTTCTCTCTTAGCAAGTTCGAAAACTTACGTTTGTCTTCCACATGATTACAGCAGACTAAAATTTTGCTTGGTTTATCTAGAACCTTAGAGGGCATTCGATAGACGTCCTTTAATGATATATTTAATCCTAATTTATTAGTTATTTTATTAACAGTATTTCTACATATTTCATTTTTAATTTCTGGCACTCCTATAATTTCAAAATTACAATCCAAAGCGTTTTGTTCGAGTACATTAACTCGGCACTATAAAATTGACACTTATTTTTTCATAAACAAATTTTCCTCTTTAATTTGTTTATTTTCTATTTTTAATTCATTAATTCACGTGATTAAATCTTTCAATTGTTAACCAAAATCATCAAACTAGGTACTCATAACATTAACTGAATCAACTACAGCATTTAAAGTTTCATCCGTAATATTAGCACTGTCTTTTAAAATAGGTGGCTTGTTTTTTGTACCTGCAATACCAGCGTATCTAAACCTTTTTCGAGATCTAAAATGTATATAGTTTCATTTTTCTTTAGAAGCTTTGTTCATTTTTCGGAACTTTTCTTCTTTATAACCAGCACAAACAAAATGAATGAACTCTCTATACAATATGCAGTTTATTTCATCACTTTGAAAAATGTTCTCATTACAAATAAAACATAATATTTTAGTCCGTATGTATAGAAAATTTTGACGATATAAAAACAACTCAATTGCATAAACAACAAATTACGATAAGCCAGCGAAAATACTACACACGACCGTCTTAGATAATTACTGACGTGGAACTGAAAAAATTATTAATCAAATATAGTAAATAAATATATAAATAAAAAAGAACATTGATAAAATTATACTATATGTATTATACAATTTATAAAAATAAACTATTCTGGTGAAATAGTATAACAAGTTAAATCATTGTATAGCCCTGAATTGTATTTTATTTTCGGAACACAATAATTGCAAACAGCTTTTAAACGATGAATATATCTAATGTATACACCAATTACTAGGTTAATGCGTTTTCAGCCATGAAACCAAAGTTAAATGGTTGTTTTTATCGTTTGTTTCGTGTACTTATGTATTTTTTAAACGACATAAAAAGATAAAATATACAGTAATTACATTTAAAATTTATTTTATGGTAGATATCATATAACACGTCTCACAAACTCGTATTCAATATCCAATATATTTGCTGTAGATCTCCATGACTCTATTCTGCAGTTTGTTTAAAAATTAAGGTTATTGCAATTTGCCAGGTCTCTGTGGGTCACTGCATAGTGCATATATCTTGTTTTTAAATTTTTTAAATTTCACATTTTCAATAGCTCTTTATATATATATATACATATTTTAAAATACATAAATATTAGTCAAAACAGTAGAAAATTTACAAATGAAATTTTTATTTTTGATATAAACAGTAAATAAACAAATGTACGTGAAGAAAACAAAAAATTATAGAACTATTCAATTAACCATTGGAACAAAAAATTAATAAACAATATAAACACTGTGCGTTAACAAATATTTTTTTTAAATTATTTATTCCGACATTCCGGACAATACCATTTCCCCTTAGGTGCGGCTACTATACCAACACACTTGAAATGATACCATTCCACTACACAACCCGGTCTATCACATGCAATCATCGGCAGTTCACTGTCGTATGGGGACCTGCAGTAACAATACAATATTTCTTCCTTTTGTTGAGATTTCTGTGTAGATTTAATTGTTTTAATATGTTTTCGTTTTTGTTTTTTTGTTAATGGTGACGAAGGGAGACGATCAGACGCCAAATACATTGCCTGTTCATCTTTTTCTTCGACGAATTTTCTTTTTTTGGTTTTTTGTTTCAACTTAGGGCGGTAAGTATCATTCGATTCAAGAGTAAACGATGCATTTTTATTTTCATGAAACGTTATCTCGCCATCGATTTCAGATTCATCAGAAGAAATACTCAAGTCGTATAATGTAGTTAGAAATGGCTTTTTGATTTTAACATCTTTCACAGCCAATGCGGTTTTTATAACGTTGTTTATAACATTTTTTATGACTTTGTTTACGCTGCGATGTTCGCAATTGCTCAAAACCGCATTAAACAATTTAAATTTGTTAATTGTATTACATCTACAATTCGGGATGTGTAATTTATTTAAATCACTTTTCGTAGACATTTTCACGTTACAACGTAAATATCTACAGTTTTATGATAAAATAATAAATCATTAAAAATAATAGCCGCAAAGAAAATAATATTATAGATATTAGAGACCAGTTGTCGGTTTTCCAAATGTTCTATATTATGTAAAATTTTAAAATTATGTTTTACATAACGACAGGCACGTGTACAAGAGGGTTGTAGGGGTTCACTCCTCTCCAAAGTTACATGAAATTTATGATGAAACTAGATTTTTAATAGAGTCTCAAAAGTGCTTCCTGCTTTTAGAAAATTATAACTGATACGGTCGTATTGCATAGTCTGCATTATTATCACAATAATATGAATTATGTTATCATTTATAGGCTATATTCTCTAAAAAAATATTAAACGTTAAATGTAGCAATAGGTATCAGGTATACCTAAAAGGCTGAAAATGAATGTTATGAAATATTAACATTTTTAATGAAAAATAAATAATCCTTTCATTGAAAGTATGTAAATTTCTTTGTTATAAGAGTTTGAAAGTGTACGACCTTTTATTCCCTATCCCCCCCCCCCCGAAATATTTTTTTGTAAACGTACCTGACCACTTGACATTTGAAAGTATACTTAATAAATATTTTTAACGGTCGGTTTAATAACAACTTTAAAGACTTACCTGCACTAGTCTATACTGCCTTATTTTAAGACTCCAGTCGCATATAGGTATTCTAATATTTTCACTTCGTCGTGTTTTCGCATGTAATTAATTGAATTTGATATAACTGATTCTCGTATACGGAATCAATGTAACGTTAATGTAAAACGAACAATTAGTATCAAAGAAATGTGAGAATCTTAAACGTAATAATAATTTCAAGAATAGTGTTATGGGCCAATAGTGATTAACTTTTTGCTGTCGACAATATACTATTTATGAATATAATAATATTGATTGGCAACCGTCATCGTATAACAATAGTACCTAATAGAAGAGTGTTTTTAGCCTAAACAACGACCCGCAGATATTAAGGTAATGTTCATGTTATAAAGTCCGCCGGTTTTTCAAACTTTCTCCGTGTTTGTAAATTTGAAAATTTGGTGAACATTATAATGACCATACCTCGATGAAAACACTTCTCCGTTTATTCACTGGCCGATAAAAATGTAATGGAATGGGGAAGGAACGGCTGCTTTTATGGATATTACGGGGATAGATATAACTCATTGTCAATTTCATATGTTTGTTTACTGTTTATTTTTTGAAATTTACGAACAAAAAAAAAGGACGGACATACTTTGCACGTGGGCGCAGCCACTGTTGTGAGTGGAACGTTAAAAAGATAGGATACAGATGGAAATTTATTGTGTATCTGTAAGCAACGATAAACCATTGCTAAAGGAAAAATGATTCTAAACGGATAGTGTTGCTTTGTCAACAATACAATGTATGGTACGTATCTTATATTATGGCAAAATGATTACGACAATTTGCGTTATCATGACAACAATAATATTTAAAAAAATTTAAATAATATGAACCTAATAATAACAATAAATACATAAAAACGGTTGCCAATGATAGCCTTATTTTTAATCATTCAATCTTTTTTAACCTAAAGACCGAAGTTTCCCTCATTAACTCTTATTTTAGTGGATACAAAGTAGACCAAATATTTGTTCACTGGGTGTCCATTAGACAATTTCCTTCAAAATGGCCTATCACGCGTATTTCCTTTCGTCGTTAACATGGGTATGCCTACTGAGTTATCGTAGAAAAAGCACTAAAAAATTAACGGGAACAGCATTTTGTCTTAGTTATAAATCTAAATTTTCACCGTAAAATAATAAGGAAAAGTAGTTGCACTATTCGAGATTTGATACCGATGTATCGTCTTTTATACACCGGATTTTGTTGATTTTTCGGTTATCTCGGCTAAAACGTGAAAAAAAAACACTATCTTTATTTTCGTTACTTTTAGTGCATTAACTAAACTTATACCCTACAACAGCCTGCTCACGTCGCAAATTATGTCCGGGATTTTTTCACTGAATTTTTACTCGTTTTCCATGTGATTCAGACGTTAAAATAATAACATACATCTACAAAGTATACACAAAACGATAAAAATAATAAGCTCGAAACTGGACGGAGACATATATTATTATTACGTGAAATATTGTCTTTTTTCTTCATAATAATCGTAGCTGTTTCTCTTGTTTTACAACCACAGTCGTATGTGCACTTTTCGAATTTGTCACGTTTCCTGCGATGAGGTTTTTTTCCCTAGTTTTTCTTTTTTTTTTTTTAATAACATTTTTTTTCTCGTTTGCCGAGCTTCCCGCGCAGTTAATTTTATCGGTCAACCGACCGCGTTAACGAGACAAGGTCAAAACGAACGTAAATGCACGTGCAGTGCAGTAAAGTATATTATTATATTGGTAGTTTTGTGTGGCCAATTCAATTAAAACATATTATAATATGGTTCTGCTCGCGTTATTTGTTTAATATTGTATTATTATCGTGGAAAAAAAAAACAATTTTTACGCGTCTATTATTTTTGTTTTTTTCACACGAGGCAAAAAAAAAAAAATAAAAAAAAAATAGGCAAGTTCCTATACATATTATGTTCGTTGAACACGAATTCGTTAAACACGATCGCGTTGTCGTCGTTTGCGAAATTATGCGTGCCAGAGGATAAACCAAGTCACGTACTTGTGAATATATTACAATACTCATCATCCGTCAAAATATTTAAAGTTTTTTTTTACGCCGTCGGTATTGTTTTTTTGTTTTTTTTTTTGTCGCGGCGATAATATCGTAAGAACCAATAATAATACTACATTCGGTCACTGCGGATTTCGTGTACCTACCGAACGACATGCTGATCGATCGGTACAAAAAATGACCCGACGTAAAATAATCATAATAACACTGGGCGATTTGTATGTATTATTATTTTTATATGATCCGAAAAAAATTATTTGACTCCTCCCCAGTCGTTATATAATTGTTTTACGATCCAATACACAATATTTTCATAATCGGCCTTGCATTTCACATTATATACTGAATGGGTAAGTATAAGCTTATTTTGTTATTCACAAGTAACATTTCATTTTTAAACCAGATTCGAAAAGATACAATAGTATGTAAATATTCCACTAATAATATCGTATTTACCATTAGTGAGTTATAATATAGTTGAACATTCAGACCGGATGTATGGAAAAGATGCATCTTCTATGAAAATAATGCGAAATGCTTTACCCTTCTTAACTCTCTCACTCTCTCTCTCTCTCTCTCTATCTATCTCTCTTTCCGGCTTTTATTACTCTCCAAGAGTTTTTTCACCATCAATAAATCACTCTATTTTTCTCGATCTCCGTTGTATTCTCTTCCAGTTCCATACTCCTAGGTCTTTCACATCACACCTATTCACCTCTTTCGAGAACGATTTTGTGGGGAGAGAGTAGCGGATAATTATTCAAACGCCGTGTGCTTGAATGCACACAAATAATGTTCCACTTCTCTCCCCTAGCTGAAACTTAAAGTGGAATATTTTGAAACTTAGTTGATGGAAATTAAAAATTGTAACACCAAAATTGATTTGAACTAATACGTCGTCTTTTAATGGAAAGCATTTAATGTAGGTTACTATTTCAAAATCAAAGTAAGTTTCACCCCCAAAATTGAGTGGCAAAGCATAATAGTGGGTAATGTTACATTTTAGAGCGGCTTGTTAGTTAAAATTTCTAAAAAGAAAAAAAACAAATTTCGAAAAAACATAATATTTGCCGAGATAATGAGTGTCTTACGTTGTATTAATCATCATGTAAATAACGTAATGGTTTACGACTATTACGACGACGACGACGGCGGTAGAAAATAAACCGTATTTTTGCAAAACACTAACGCGTGATGTAATCCCCCGACGTTTGAAGTTTATAACACGTTGTACACACATGCGTATATTATGTAAAGAGTCGATAAAAGTCGATAAAAATCGTCTACCTACTCGTATATAATATTATTATGACGTATAGGTTCCTATCACGCGGGTAGATGCTTCATCTGCAACAGCAGCAGCAGCACCAGTGGTATTTAACACGCTAATGATGGATAACAAATACACAAACTCGTTTTAATAACCGCATAAACAACAACTGCATAACAACGTTAGTCAATATTCCGTACAGTGTTCGAATATTCCTAAACTGGACGTGTAAAAATGTGGTAAACGTTGCAAAACGCGTCTTACCTGCTGTGCAGACGAAATGGACGTTGAATACGCGTTTTACAATAATGGATATTGCCCTAAACGTATGGTAAAACTACATTAACTTTATTGGTGAACACATGTTGGATGCTAAGACGGTCGTCTCAACGGGAGAAAAAAGAAAATACACGGATATTACCGTCAGCGTTAAAAATCTTTTATTTGTCTTTTCTAGGCGTGGTAAAATGTTCAAAACGTTTGGGCTATTTTCGAACCATTTATAGACATTTTAATTTTGCGAGTTTTGTACGTGATTTGTATTTAGTATGTTGGTTTATTGTTGCTTTCGGATACAAATTAAATAACTTTATGTATTTTATATTTCCAACTTCCTACCTACAACAGTGGTACACCCGTCCTCAGTATTAGCTCTTTTGTTATTATTATTATTATTATGATAAACTAAACATTAAATATTATACCTCGAAATGAGTAAAATAATTCTCGAGAATTGAATCATATTTTGTATCTGATAGGTGGTTATAGTTCCAGAGGCATGTTGATACATTTCGATCAAATGACGTAAACGTCTAATTTTAGATTCTGAGCGAAGCGAGGAATCTATTGGTTCTCCAATGATCTTTAAATAATTTTTTATACTATATATACAAATTCTAACAAAAATTTTTTCAAGTGTAGCACCTTTTCTGAAAGAAAATTTTTTTTTGGGATGATACTTTAAGGAAAATATGTATTCGAATAATTCTGTTACTATTATTTAATTTTGTTTTTTTATTGTAATTTAGTAAAATTT